CCCCGCCGGTCAAAGGTGTCCCTCTTTACCAATCTGAAAATCTGGTCAACTTACAATATACTAGTTCACCCCATCTACATGAGTAGCAAGTGATTCAGTGACACCAACCATACTGATAGAATAAAGTACAAATCATGTTCAAAAACATTTTGTAGAAGCCTATCAGTGATCCATTATGTCTTTGAACCCACAATGTTTCTATTGACCCAAGCATTCCCTTGGCTTTATTTATCATAGTCTCAAAACAAAGATGCTTTAATAAGGAAGAAAAAAAAGAAAGAAAGGAACTCAGGAAACGTGAGGCAGATGGTTATTCTGTGTGCAAGCATTTCGGAAAGTAAGAAAAGAAAGGGAACTAGGGAGGAGAAAACAATCCCAAAAAGGAAGGCAGGTATCAGTCAACAAGCCATCAGTCAAGAAGGCTTGCGTTTTCTGTACACAGGTGAGAAGCACAAGAACAGTCAATAATTGCAAACCACTGGAATCTGGACTGGAACTGCTTCAACAATGGCTGAGAGTGGCATAGAAGATAGGCAACTTTGACTTGCTATGACCTTAGTTTGACAACAGTATCCTGGTCTCTAACTCACTTTAAGCCTGCTTCAGTTAACTTCACATTACTGTCTTGTAACTGTTTTCAATGTGGATACTGCAGCTTTTGATTTTAGCAGCTGACTCTTGCCTTATCTGCGTAGAATGAATAAGAATAGCCGCCAACGTCTGTTTAGATACCTGTTCATACGGTATAACCTTTCTAGGCCCAGGTCTTCCCACCACGCTATTTGGGAGCACTGACTAAAAGGAGAAGAAGCTGCTTCTTAGTGTGCAGCCTTCTTTCTGATGGTGGGCATTATCATTGCACTACCACTGAGGCAGCAGACAGCAACCAACCTAAGAACTAGAAGCAAAGCAAGAGTTCATTTTCCCAGTCGCCGGAAGCTGCCTTTCTGCATGCTTGAAAGGATACAACAGGAAGATATCCCATTGCTCTATTTTTGCTCTTTCGTCAATAAAGAGGAGATGGGGGGAACCAATAGCTCCACCCAGTGTCGACTCTATCTACATCCCTCCTCCCTTGACTGGAGAGCGGAGCCAATGGACGCGAGACTAAGGCGTGTTCCAGCCGGCGTGGGTGGATGAGAGAAGAAGCATGTTAGTGGGGGGCTGACAGGCAGAGAAAAAGCTCGCGTTTAGATTTTCATTATCCATCATGGCATCCAAGTGCCCCAAGTGCGACAAGACTGTCTACTTCGGTGAGTCTTTTTCTCCTCCTTTGCATTATTGTATTCCTCGGAGCGTGTATCTCTTTCTGTCTCTCCTGTATTAGTGTTTTCTAAATCCTGCAATTTAGAGATTTGAGTGCTTTATACCAGTTAATAGTGGTGCTTGGCTCTGTTTTTCAACAACACATTCCGGTTCTCTGCCCTGGCTGAGAAACTGCCTTCTGGGAACACCCAAACTATGTTGGGAGGGCTGGAAGGAGTGTCAGCCTCCTTTCCAGGGAGTTTTTTTAGCTCAGTTTCTTTCCCTTCTCAAAAGTGCATCTCTGAAATAATTGTTATTGATTATATGGGGAAAAAAGAATACACTTTGCTGTGAGACCCCCAACACCAGCCAGTGTAAGTGATATCTCAATTCCCTTTGTTATCTATCATCACTCCTCACTTTGAGATATTTTCAAGTTGGTGACTGAGATGATCTTAAAACAAGAACAGATCTCCCTATGGAAGTGCACTATGATTTTCCTAAATCCTTGTGGATTAAGATTAAAAGTTTTTAATTTGCAGAGGATGCAAGAAAACTTCATTTTTTTCCTTAAAAATCAAACAGTTCCTCTGTTTCTCTAGCTGCTTCTTCCAAGATTTTAGGAGTGGTTCAAATTCCCCTCTTCAGCCATTCCCATTTATTCTATCTCAACCACACCCAAAGCTATTGCTGCATTTCTGTGGTGTCCATGTCAGCTTCAGCCATGGTAAAAAATAGAATCTCCATTTTCATAACCAATATAATTCTAAATCTCAAAAGTTACAGACAAACAGAGAAATATATCATTAAAATACTCTACTTGGAAATTTCTTTAAAATGTATGGCTGGTAGATGTTGCAAACAGAACAGAGAGCTCCAGAAGTTCTGCCCCACGCATACTGAAAATATATTTTCTTTTTTTTTTTAGGTTTAAAAAAATCCCCTCCTTTCCATATTAATTCCAGAGCCTGATAACTACTTTTCAAGAAGAAAAACTTCTATCTCAATCAGTTCTGTCTCATATTCAGAGTACATTACTATTTTTCTCACTGAGACTGATGTTGCTGTTGTGTTAGTAGCACATCTGATTAGTCTCTGTTCTTGTTTAAAATAAGGCATTTTAACGGAAAGCTGCTTCACTAGCAGGACCTACCCAGCCCAACAAATATCTATTGGAACAGAGCTTTGCTTTCCTATATGACCTTAAATATTTGAGGGTGCATTGGTTGGAAGGAAATTGTCGATTTAAGCATGACATCAGTTTGGTTTAGGAGTTAAGGCATGGCTTGAATGAAAAGACCATGAGTTCAAATCCCGTCTTGCCCATGAAAGTCAACAGGGTTGGGTAACCTCAGAATAGTCACTCTCTCAGCTCAACTCACCTGTTGTTGTGGGAAAAACAGGAGGAGGAAGGTGTGTTGGATGTGTTTGCTGCCTTGAATTGTTTGTAAAAATAACAAAGGCAGAAAACAAATTATGTGCAAGTACAGGTGTCTCTGTAAGACAATAGTTGATTATCTTGTTGCACCTTTACAAAAGTAACTGTAACTGGTCTGTTCCCATTCTTTTTGTTGGAAGCAGCTTCTATGTGAGAAGGTTTATTTATTTATTTATTAGACTTATATACCGCTTCATAGGGCTTTCAGCCCTCTCTAAGCGGTTTACAATTTTTTTTAGCAAATTGAGTCGGCAACTTGCCTCCACAGATGAGAAACATACATGTTTAAGAGAAATAGATATTTTCTATTATTGCAAAATACATGTTATCCTTAAAGACCAAAAGTGTTCTCAGAATGGTTTATAAATATCCTTTATTAAAGCCCTAATTGCCAAAAGCAGGTAGGGAAAGCAGTGAAAATTTGGAATTCCTATAGTGAACAAGACATTCTGTACATGACATGAAAGTATGGAAATGTTGTAAAAGATCATATTCTCTAGTGTTTATATATCAGAAAATAAGGAACTCTGACAGTAGTACAGATTAATGACCATAATTATGTGTTGAACCGTGGCCAGCATTTTACGGGCCCATTATTTTTTTTGTCTCTTATTGAATTTAATTCACATTTATATTGGTTATTTAGGACTTGACAATCTTTGTTCTCTGTGATTTTCAGAGCCTTCAAATATGTGGTCATATGTTACAGCAATATATTTGTGAAAGATTATCAAATTTATTCTTAAACCATGTTTTCTACCCTGCTGGGCCACTTCAGACCTCTCTCTGCATTTCCTGCCAATCACCTACATTGCAGAAAGGAATAAATGGCTGATAATTGATTGATGGATGCAGTACTAAAATTGACAATAATGTAGTCTCAAGTGCAGTTACTATTGGAAGAAAAATCAGATCCAATCAAAGTTGCTGAAATAAAATAGAGGGAAGCTTCAGGAAAGAAGGTCTCCATTTATTTGGTAGCCAGAAACTTCAATGACAGCAGCGTGTTTTTGGAGTGGTTGACAAAATGAGTTTGAGAGTAGGTAGTTTTTTATACATTCTTTGGGGCTTTGTGATTGAGATGTCCGTTCCTGTGTAAGAATATGTCCTTTAATATTTTAACCTCTGTTGCCAAATTCCTATGGAGTTGTGTAGGGGGTCATGGCTGGTTCTACAGGCAAAAGGGAAAATGCTAGATGTTTGTCTGAGCTAATTGTGTCAGTTTGGCCTATTGCTTATTTAGGATTTCTAGCTGCTCTTTGCTTATGAATAGATTGGCCCAGTCTTTCTGAATGAATACAAGTTCTTCATTCCTAAAGACTAGCCTCTTCAATAGAATAGAATAGAATGACAGAGTTGGAAGGGACCTTGGAGGTCTTCTAGTTCAGTGGTCCCCAACCTTTTTATCACCGCGGACCAGTCAGCCTTTGATAATTTTACCGTGGCCCGCTGANCCCTGAGTCCCTCCCGGAGAAGGGCGGCATACAAATAATAAAATTCAATTCAATTCAATTCTGGTTTTGGGGTCCTTGGTCAGAGTTCCTTCACCCTCAGTGAGAGAGGGGAACTCTACAACCTCCATTCTTCTGAATGTTATCTCTTTGGGCTTGGAAGGGTCTCTTTCCGTTCCCTCTGGTTTCCATGAGGCAGTCAGCAGCCTGATGACTCTCACTCAGTGCCACAGTGGCAAAGACTGGGGTTTGGCTTTGAAGACTCCAGTTTTTCTGGCCAAAAAGACTGTCAGTTTTCAGTTGGTACACACATGGTATCTGGCCAGGCCAATTTCTTCCTCATCTGCCAGAACATACCAACCCTGGAAGGTTTGGGGTGCCCCCTTTGATAGGCAGGTATAGAATACTTTGTTAGACAATCCCTCTTGGAAGCACTTGATCAGGCCACATTTTGGAACTCTTGAATGTAGATGCGATGGACTGTTTTCTTTACTTGAGGCTTCTGATCCTGATCTGGGCTTTCTAGTTGGGAAGTGGGTCCTCAAACTGCTTCCTCAAGGCAGCTGTAAATCTGTCAAAATGGCACAATTCCACAGTATCATCATCATGGAGGGCCACCAGCCACTCTGCGGCCTCTCCCTCAAAGGCCATGGTGTCACACTGCACTCTGGCCAAGACATTTAGCAGGTCTGACCAATATTCTTTCATGTATTTCCTCACTTGGGTGAGGAAGAAGGTCAACTGTCAAATTTTACTCCTACCACCGGTGGATGGTGATCATCCCCTCCCCGTGAGAGCAGCTTGGGTCAGTGCCTGAGCTGGTTAGACAGCGGCTGGATGGGCTGCACTAATGGTGGGTCTGGCCACTCTGGGAGGTTTTCAACTGTCAGCTTGTCAAAGGTCTCCATCAGAAAATTGTTTGCCTGTTCAAGCGCCACTGTATGGGTGTCTGGTTTGTCCAGCATGGCCTCATATGGCTTGGTGGCACGTTGGGCTTGAAAACAGCTCCCTCAGCTAAGAGTTACTGTCAGATCCATGAATCGGTCATTATTCAGGGGAAGAGGGGACCCCTATACTTCCTTTAGACTTTTCTATCTTTCTTTCCTATATATCCTGTACCATGTAATTAATTGCTTTATAACTTCTAACCTAGTGTCTAGAGGCCTGGCATTTTCTAACCTTTCAGGGAATGCGAGGGGAGGGAGGGGCATGTGGACTGCATGGCTCAGGAAATGACCCTGGGAAAGTATTATTATTTTCCCAGAGCATCCGTTGCATCTGTTGCAAAAATATCTTCACACCTGTGGATTGGCTGAATTCACATCAGACTGTTGGGAAGGGACTCTAATTTCCTTTATTCCTATTGTATTGTAAGGACCCCAGATCCTGCTTTGTCTTCACCCACCTGTCACTCCTTTTTCAATAAAAGGTTCCTTTTGAAATGTTAAGTTTTAAGAGTCTTTACTTCCTTGATTAAGAAGGGAAGGCTGGGCCTTACAGTTACTCTGGGAGGAGATTTATCCCAGTCCTCCAGTCTCCCTACTCTGATTGACCACCAAGATTTTGGTCAGTTGCTTGCTTCTAGGAGAGATCTCTGCTTATTCTTCTAGCCTGGGTTACTCCTCATTGTCCCTCGGTCTTGAAGCAGCCTCCTATCAGGTCTCCATGTCCTCCTGCTCTCCTCCATGATCTGAAATCTCTTGCATGATCTCTGCGGTAGAGGCAATTCTCTGGGTAGACTGTTACTGCAGATCTGGCTTAATATTAGGCTTGTTCCAACTTGGTCATTTGGAAAGAAAGAGAGGTGGCGCAGTGGTTAAATGCAGCACTGCAGGCTACTTCAGCTGACTGCAGTTCAGCAGTTTGGCTGTTCAAATTTCACCGGCTCAGGGTTGACTCAGCCTTCCATCCTTCCGAGGTGGGTAAAATGAGGACCCGGATTGTTGTTGGGGGCAATATGCTTACTTTGTAGTGGT